AGGTCAAATAAGAAGTCGCTTACGAAGATGAATACAAATACGACTACAAAGAGAAACGCGAAGTCAAATATTAAGACGAATACGAATTTCGTGACATTTACGAAGTCGACTTAAGCTAATACTTAGCCAAGGATGAAGGCACTGGCGATGCATCGGAAGTGTACCCATACGAAGAGGAACACTAAGCAGGCAAATTTTAAGGCAAACACATGATACAAAAAAGAAGGTAGTTTCATTTAATGACATTCGTTGTTGTTGCTAACCATTTGACTTTTAATAAAATTATGACATTTCATCAAATTCATGCTACCTGATTACTAGAAGAAATCTATTTTTTTAAGCAGAAGATTTTATCAGTACATTCAAAGATGTGGAATATGATGAACTAGAAAATTATGCCGGCTAAATGATTTCGCAAATGGGGTTGACGACTAGGTTTCAGAACGCATGAAGAAAGTGTAACTGCAAAACCGCGTAACTGACATTTTTTTCAAAAAATTGGATTTGCTCACACAAACTCTTGGCTCTACCCTTATCCATTCGTCCTGAAATGGGATTTCTTTGTAAAAAAGAGAACCATTTTGAAATGTGAGTGTTTTTACTCTCTTCTAAATAATTTATGCAACCTCACATACGCAGTTGTGCATTTTGTTGATACACGGTTTTGTACTTTAAACGACGATCTGTTAGCTGTTTATCGGAGGGCGGTCTGTTCAAGCCGCCTTCAGGTGTTTTGCATAAATTGAAAATTTGTGAAATTTAATGATGCTAAAAGCCTAATTTTTTGCAAAATCTGATGAGAAATTTAAAAGCAAACTTGAACCTAAATATAAAAAGGTTTTATTTGGGAAGAACATTCTTTAGAATTTGATTTTTAAATCGCAAGATTGCATTAAAAAAAAAAACAGAAAAATGCGCGCGTGGTTTTTATTACAAAATGAAAAGAACCATTACGATGAAGTCTCCTTTAACAGTACCAAGTACTGATAATGGTTTTTGATTTGAAATGTTATTACATTAGTATAAATATGGGAAAGAAAATACTCCGATTTATTGTTTTAATATTATCAAAGTGGCAAGGCCGTTGATAATACTCACAAATTATGAAACTTCAAAAAATTTTATTATCCGTCAAAAGTTGTTTATTGAAACTGCCTTCTTTTTTGTATCATGGGCAAACATAACTACGAAGACATATACAATGAAAAATAGGAAAACGAAGACGGCGATCATCATTCATTATTGAATCATGGACGGCGATCAAATAGAATGTAAACACGAACAGGGAGACTAAGACGAATATGAAGACAAATACAAATACGGCGACGAAGAAGAATACGAGTACGAACTGACGAAGTGAAAAATGAAGATGAATACGAAGACGGATATGGAAGCGAATGTGATTACGGGGAAGTCGAATACGAAGGTG